ACACACAGTTGCAAGGTGTGATGGCTTGCATCTGTAATCCTTGATACTTAGGAGAAGGAGATTGAGAAGATCAAAGCTCAAGGCCAGCCCAGGCAAAAAGTACAAGACCCCATCCCCCCCCACACATAAAATCTTGGTTGTCCCAAGTCTGTCGTTCCAGCTATGAGGGAAACATAACTAGAAGAGAGACAGTTGGGACATAGCTCAAGTGGTAGAGTGCTTGTCTAGAAGGAATATGGTCTAGCTCACCCCAGGTATAAATGCAAAAAGTTATTCATAAAGGACTAAGCCAGACACTAGTGCCTGACATTTACAATCCTATCTTCTTGATAGGCGAAGAGGAAGAAAACTAAAGTTCAAGGCTAGTCTGCATAGAAAATTTCATGAGACTGTTTCTCCATCACAACGGGTGCAGTGATATATGTCAGTCATCCTACAATACATGATATGCTGAGACTAGGTGAATCATGGAGCCAGAAGCATTTACCAGACTCCATCTTCACAGAGGGAAGCTGGATGAGTGGCTTGCCTGGGATCCCAGCATTGATGGTAAGCATAAATTAGGGCCAGGTGTAGGAATTGAGACCCTATCCTAAAAAATAGGGCTGGAGATGTGGCTGAGCCTAGTGCCTGAGCTCAGACTCCAATACATATGTATCTGCATAATCTCTCTATATATATGTAAGGGTATATGTATGTATAGGAATATATGTGTAGATATAGATTAGATGGATGGGTAGACAGAAAGACAGACAGAGATAGAGAGATGACAGTGTAGGTCTAGAAAGTTCACCAACCCCCATCTTGTTCTCAAATGGCTAGCTCATTGTTGGCATGTCACCGAGATAGACAGTTTATTGTTTTGTTCACCAATGTTACCAGTACCATAGAAATACTCAGAACTTTGGAGTTCAAAGCATCACACACCACCACAGAACCCCAATCTGCCTGTACCTTCTTCCTGAAGATGCAGGAAACTTGGATGTATCCAAGCATGTAGTATCTCTAGATTCTGATTAATCCATGCTGCCTCTGTCAATGCTCAGTAGAAATGGGAGTCATGTATCGCCAAAGTAAAGATCTCATAGTACAAATAATTCTGGGTTGAGATAGAAGGTTTTCAAAAATATCAAAGAGAAACCTAAAAATAATACATTTCCATTTTTGCTTAATTCAGGTACAATGTCTCAACTTTAAAAAAAAAATCATCAAATGAAAGAATTTCTATATATTTAAACAGTCTTTACCAACCCTCTATGCTCAGTCTCCAGAGATTTTTTTTTCTGCCAAAATATTTGAGCTACGAAGTTAAGGTTATAAATTCCCTCAAGCCCCGAAGTCACAAGTTGGAGTGTCATGGTCTCATGTTGATATTTTGCTTTCAAGTCAACCAAGCTATAATTTGAAACAGTTGTTCATTGGAAAATCCATTTTCTTACTTTTTCTGATCTTCAGATAACAGTCTTGACAGTTAGAAGATTAAAATATGGGTCAGCAAGTTAAGTGATATGTTTAAGGTCATCAACAAAATCTTATATCAAAATTTTATTATAATTGGAAAAAAAACAATTCAGGGGAAATTGTAAAATGAACTGTTACCCCAAACTAACTGCTCCCTCTTGGGCCCACTCACTATTACCCAGTATTACAAATATTTGAGTAAAGGGAAGACAGAAGGTGTTGTCTAACTCAGAAAGAAGTTCCAGTGAGTAGCTCATCATGTTCTTCACTTTCTCCACGAAGCTTGTTCCTGATAAAAGACATCTGGTGCAATCCTTTCAACTCCACTTTTGATCACCAAGTTTTCAAGTTGATTTCACAGTGTTCTGCCAGCAAATTCAACCCAAAATATTTTATAGATGATAACAATTATATTATTAAAAGAGGAGATGAACGGAGGGAATGGAGGCATGACTCAGGTGGTAGAATACCAGCCAGTGAGGGAAAATGTCAGATGCAAAGTTTAAGTCCCAGTCACTTAAAAAAGAAAAGAAAAGAAAAGAAAAAAGAAGCCGGTCAGGCTATAAGGTACACAGAACAGGGCTTTCCAGCTAGATGAATGATGCTCAGATGTAGAAAAGAGGTAAAGATATGAGCAGAGAAAGAACTTTAGAATCTTTAATGATCATAGTTACCAAAAAAATGAAGAGAAACAGGTGCTAGAGGAAGGTCTGGGAATGGCTTTTAAACATAGGAACTATAAACAGGCTTACAATTAAGAAAACTTTGGAGATCCTTAGCCAGGGTCATCCAAATGATTCTGATATATTTGTTTGTTTGTTTGCACAGATGAACCTGAATCTCATGGGTAGAGTCTGAGTGTGTTTGTTGTGGAGAAAGAAGCCCAAGTGGACGAAATATACACCCTGGGTTAAAAACTGCTTATCTATTAACCCTTCTTGGTTTTCTCCTTATAGCACTAAAGTGTTAAGTTTTTCAATGCTATTACTCTTTGAAAACTATGCTCTGTTTATAAAAAATGCATTGAAAAACTGAAAAATTAGGGCTGGGAAGGTGGCTCAGTGGTAGAGTGCTTGCCTTGCATTCATGAGGCCCTGGACCACATAAACAGAAAAAGCTGGAAGTGGCGCTGTGGCTCAAATGGTAGAGTGCTAGCTTTGAGCTGAAGAGCTGAGGGACAGGGCCCAGGCCCACAACCAAAACAAAACAAAACAAAATCTGAAAAATCTAATCGTCCCCAATAGACTTCAAAAGACCCGTAGCCTGGAGCTCTGAAAACATGTACAAAATTACTGTTCAATCTTATTTTTACCAAACTTATTTGTATTTTGTTTTATTTTTGCTAGTACCAGGATTTATAGTTAGAGTCCATGCTTGCTCAGGTGGTGCTCTACCACTTGAGACATACCTCCAGTCCTTCTTTTGGTGCTTAGTTGGACATGGAGTTTCTTGGCATCTTTTATACGGTCTGGCTCCTATAGGCATGACTTGCTGGACCCTGGCTTCATGTGTGGTTTTTTAATAATTTTAGTGTTATATGCTTGTTTTGAAAGGTTTTCTTCTAGTTATCAAGAATGCACATGATACTCCATCATTGGACAGTATTTCTTGGATAGTCACCACCCATCCTTGCTACTATAGACAATGTTGAAACAAACATCCTTATATATAATTGTGTGTGTGTGTGTGTGTGTGTGTGTGTGTGTGTGTGTGTGTGTGTGTGTGTGTGTGTGTATGTGGTGGGTGGTGGTGGCAGTGGTACTGGAGTTTGAACTTAAGATGTTCTAGCACTGAGTGATGCTTCCAGCCCTTTTTTACACTGATTATGTTAAGACAGGGTCTCACTTTTTGCCTGGACTTTCAAGATCAAGATCCAAGATCCACCTATGTTATGCTTCGCATTGTAGCTGAGAAGATGGACACATGCTACCATGTCCAGCTTCTACCCTGAGGTAGGGTACACTTTTCTGCCTGGGATGGCTTGCATCATGATACTCCTGATCTTGGCTTCCCAAGTAGCTAAGATAACAGGTGTCACCCACCAACGCAGCAATTTTTGTTGTGGTAAGCTAAGTCTGCATTGTTACAGCTGCCATAAAGAACTAATACCTTCCTCTTGATTTCTGTGGGGTTTTCCCAATACAAAATTTCTTAAGACTTCCTCTTAGCCTCTGGCCTAGTGTTGCTGTGTCACCATCCTCTGTGTTCCCATATCCACCCTGCCTCCCATACCCTGAGTTGTGAGCGTCTGCTCACTGAGCGATCCCTTCTGTTCACACAAGAACTCTGTTAGGACAAGGGCTGCCTAGATGTAACATGTATGAATAAATATTGATTGCATGAACAAACAAACATATAAAAATGTGCAAATAAGGTAGAAATGGCTTAAGGGAAAGAAACTTTGGATAGATGCCTCTTCATATTAGACTCCTTTTCTCTTGACAATCTTTTAAGTTTTCTATTCTCTAAAAATAAAACTCTGTGCTGGTTTATGACATACAATAGGTCAGAGATATGCCTTGGATCAAATCAAGGGCAGTGATGTGTTTGAGACAGTGTTAATCCAGAGGGGAAAGAAATATCCTGTGATAACACTGGGTGTGGCTGTGTTTCTCTCACCTGCCTACGATTATAGGGCATTGCAGTAGCTGTTTGCAAAATGCTGATGGTCTGATAGGCTCAGCTTTGTTCAGATTGCTGTGGAACATGTGTTTAGGCCATTTGGGCCTAGAGACATTACTTCTTGGCATGACAGGAAACCTTAAATGAATGTCTCCCCATTCCATCAGCTAGGTTCCCTGTCTAAATTGTCTAAGCCAGCAGGGTTTAGCCCACAAAAATTCCAAAGTACAAGTGCACAAAGATATTTACTGTGGCTCTCTTTGTAATAGCATAGAATTGGAAGCAATCCAAATGTCAGCCAACAGCTAAATGGTTGAGTAAATTATGGTAGATTCATAACCCACAGAGTTATGCATTCCTCCAAGAGAATAAGGTTGTTTCATACATTGCACTTCTGTCGTAAACATATTTCACAGCTTCTCCTGGTCTTAACTGTCCGCCCACCCCCCACCATGTCCCAGTACCAGCTGTGCTTCCCTTTCTGAGGCCAAGGTCTGTATTCTCCCTATCATCTGGATTCAGTACAGTGGCCATCTCCATCAGTGCCACCCAAAGTCATTCCTACCCGGTCCTTTGCATTTGCTGTTCTCTCAGCTGGTTCCTCTGGACCAATATTTCTCGGCCTTGATTACACAACAAAGCCCTCACTAACCTGGGCTGCATCCCAAACAAATTAATTCAGAATCTCTAAGGTCTCCAAGGTAGAACTCAGGCATCACTTTCTGGTTGTTTTGCTTTTGTTGTTTGTTTTTAAGGCCCCTCCCCCAGGTGGTCCTCTGTCCAGACCAACTTGTGCAGCAGGGTGGTGTCAGATGGTGGCTTCTCTCCAGCATTCAAGGCAGAGTTCAAATGTCATCTTCGTATAAGTTCACTATTTAACACCATTTTAAAAACAAAAGGTTTCAACTCACAGGGTGAGTTTAAGGAGTAAACAAAACACACACTGAAATTTAATTTGTAAATGTAGAAATGATAACTATGAATTGCACACATTGAAGAACAATGCAATAAAAAAAAGGCAGTGAACTACTTCCCTGCTTTTGTTTACTTTCTTTCTGGAGCTTTCCCCCTGCCCCAGTCAATTAGATACATGCATCTTCTTTTCTGTTACTAATAAAATTTAATACATGATAAAAGCAAAAACAAAAGAGTTGCCAGGCACTGGTGGTTCAAGGCCTGTAATTTGAGCTACTCAAGAGGCTGAGATCTGAGGATTGCAGTTGGACACCGGCCATGAGACTCTCATCTCCAATTAACCATACATGCACACAACAAAGCTGGAAGTGGAGCTATGACTCAAGTGGTAGAGTGCTAGCCTTGTACAAAAAAGCTCAGGGACAATGTCCAGGCTTTGAATTCAAGCCCCAAGACTGGCATAAAGCAAAGCAAAGCAGAACAGAACAAAAAAATAAAAATAGTATAAAAACACCCCAAATCAAAAATTTAGCAAAGGGCCTGAATATGTCTTTGTGAAGCAGATATAAAAATAGCCAATCAGTAATGAGCAGTTCATGGCAGGTGAAAACCACAGTGCACTATTACCCACACTATTAGGATGGCTCTTAGGAAAAGACAAAGGAAGTAGTGGGAAGGATATGAGAAAAGGACTATTTGCATATGACCAGTAGAAATGCAACTATTACAGAAAACAGCAGGAAGGTGCCTCCAAAAGTTAGAAACAGAATTAGCACTTGATCCAGCCATCTCCTATAAAATTACTACCTGGGAAAGACATCTATACCTACATCTAAAGACGTCTACATCTACACCTCAAGCACATGCACCTCTGTCCCCAATAGTAAAGATACAGAAACAAGTGAAATGTTTGCCAACAGATGAATGGATAAAGAAACTGCAGTGTGTATCTACAATGAAATATTATTCAGTCTCTAAAAGGAACAAGCTCCTGCCATTAGCAACAACATGAGTTGGGCCCCCAAAAGATGTTCCATGTTGTGAAATAAGCCAGATACAGAAAGAAATATCCTGAGCAATCTCATTGACATGTGGACTCGAAAAAGTCAAATAAACACCAGATGGAACAGTGGTTCCCAGAGGTTGGGAAGTGGGGAATGATGGGAAAACTTGTCCAAGGATGGAGACTCACTAAGCACCAGTGGCTCACACCTGCAAATTGGGTAACTCAGGAGGCTGAGATCCAAGAGTCGTGCTTCAAAGCCAGCCTGAGTAGAAAAATTCCTGAGACTTTCCCCTCCAGTTAATCACCCAAAAGTGATAAGTGGAGCTATGGTTCAACTAGTAAAACACCAGCCTTAAATGAAAAAGCTAAGAGACAATACACAGGTCCTGAGTTCAAGCCTCAGTACCAGCTAAATAAATAAATACACAAATACATACATACATACATACATAGACACAGACTCATAAGTGTGTATGATGAATAAGTCTCACAATACTGCATTGTGTACTGATATTTTGCTAGGAGAAGAGATTTCATGTGCTCTTGCCCCATGAACACAAAAGAAGCTGGAGGTGGGTATTTTAATTTGCTTGATGGTAACAATCATCTCAAGACACTGCCTGCGTAGCAAAAGATTATATTGTACATCTTACATAAAGGGAGGACAGCCCAGCAGCAGTAGAGTACACTGAACTTCCATTCTACTGCTCTCCCTTGCTGTGATCTTGTACCAGTTACTTCCCATCTCTTAGCCTCTGGAAGTGAACAGGAATGCACAGCTTAGGGGACATTTTCAAATGTCTGAAGCAATGAGACCATGAGTGGTACCCAGCCAAAACCCAGTAAATAGCACTCATTATTGTTAAGGAACAAATCATTGGTTAAAGCAGTCAGTGCTTCAGAAATTCCAAGCAAAGTAGGAATGCCAGGTGTCTGGGAGTCAGGGAGAGCTCCTTGGGGAAAGTAGAACTTAATGTCCTGTAAGTAAGCTAGGATCTGGGCAAGTGGAGGGAACAGTGAAGGTCACTAGCAGCATCCCAGGGGACACAGGTACAGGAGGAAAGGTGAGAGGTGGAATCCTGCAGTGTGTCTGGAGAGGAGGAAGGAAAGAACTTGACTAGTGATATGTCCAGGTGAGCGAGGCTTCTGCTTTCCATCACATAGCATCTCTGTGGTGCTGGCATGATGCACATTCGATGGTATGGAAGGGTAAGGCTGTGATTGGAAGCAGACCTCTGTAGACAGAGGGGTAGGGGATGGCAGGAGACAGGCTTTGGAAGGGTGCTCCCTTTCAGGGAAACTCGTGTGGCCTCTTGCCCATTGACTCTTCGCCAACCTTAGGGCAGTAAGTTACTGGGTTGCCAGGAATAGATCCCAAAGCACTTTCAAGTGGCAAGATTTGGAACTCCTGTGAGATACCCACCTCCAGGGAGCCCAGCCTTGTCTGTGCTGGGCAAGAAAAGGGGTGTGGGGGGTGTATGGTGGGAAATCCCACCTTTTCCCCTCTCCTTTCTTCTCTTCTCCTCCCTCCCTTCCGCTCCCCTCCCCTCCTCTCTTCTCCCTTTCCTCTCTCTCAATCTCATGCTCTTTCTAGGGCTTTAACTCAGGGTCTTGCACTCTTTTTTTTTTTTTTTCTTCCTGTCCTGGAGCTTTGAACTCAGGGCCTGAGGGCTGTTCCTAGGCTCCTTTTGCTCAAGGCTAGAGCTCTATTACTTGACCCACAGCACCACTTCCTGCTTTTTCTGTGATTACTTGGAAATAAGAATCTCCCGGACTTACCATCATGGGCTGTCTTCAAATCACCATCCTTACATCTCAGCCTCCCAAGTAGCTAGGATTACAGGCATGAGCTACCAGTGCCTATCAGCCTAGCACTTTGGCTTGGCTTTTCTTGCTCATACTTGTGTTCTATTCACTTGAGCTATGCCTCCAGTCTACCATTCTACTGATTAACTAAAGATAAAACTCAGCTTTTCTGCCCTGGCTGGCTTGGAACGTTGATCCTCAGATCAGCCTCCTCAGCTAGGATTATAGGAGTGAGCCACCAGCTCCCACCTCCGTTGTTTTTCTCTATCTGGAAGGTGACTCCTCTGTGGGATAAGCCCAAACCACAAGCCAGATGGAAAGAGTGCATATTATACAGTCCGTATCTATTAGCCTCTTAGGGTCACAGGCAGGATGGGGATTGAAGAGCTGATGTGGAATATCACACAGCAATTGTCTTACAGAACGACAAGCACATAGGAGCTAGTCATGAGCTAGTCATGTCCTTCCCTGATTAAGGTCCTTCCGCACCTTCCTCTCACAACCCCAATCCATCACCTAGCTTTGCCAATTGGACCTCCGAGTATGGCCCCCAAATACTCTGCACACACCATATACTTAAACCTCATATGGATGAAAGATTTATGGTTTGATTTTTTTTTATAGCTAACATTACTAGGTGAAAACTTGACTGGATATTTATATAACCTTAGAGTAAAGGGAGAGCTTCTCAGAGTGAGACCTTCAGGGCAAAACCACAGAGAAGATTGATCGTTTGAACTACGCAAAAACTGGAAACTTTCATTTGACAAAAGCCACCGTGAACAAAGTTGAAAAGGCATAAAAAATAACCAGAATAAACCTCAAACAAGGAAATAATATCACTTCAGCAAATTTAAGTAAATATATAAATCTAAATATATGAAGATCTCCTAAATAGATAAGAACTGAACCAAACTTAGGAGAATAGGAGGAACTAAGAGGAAAGGAAAATCAAACAAATAAGGAAAAAGCTGTGAACATAAAAATAGATGCACGGGCAAAGGACATAAACAAGATTGATGAAAAAGGAAAACCAGGCAGGCTTTCGTGACTCATGCCTATAATCCTAGCTACTCAGGAGACTGAGATCCCAAGAGTATGCTTTGAAACCAGCCCAAGCAGAAAAGTCCACAAGACTTTTATTTCCATTCATCTAGCAAAAAAAAAAAGCTGGACTAGAGGTGTAGCTCAAGTGATAGAATGCCAGCCATGTACAGACAAAGCCCTGAGCAAGCCCTGATACTGGCAATAAAAAAAAGGAAGGATATTGCAAATAAGGGAAACCATGGGACCTATGTTTCTTTGGGCCTGGCTTACTTCACTTAATATAATTTTTTCCAAGCCTTTCCATTTCCTAACAAATGGGGCAATGTCATTCTTTCTGATGGAGGCATAGAATTCCATTGTGTATATATACCACATTTTCTTGATCCATTCATCTATTGAGGGGCATCTGGGTTGGTTCCATATCTTAGCTATGGTAAATAATGCTGCAATAAACATAGTTGTGCTGGTAGCTTTAGTGTGGTCTTTTTTGTAAACATTAGGGTAAATGCCCAAAAGTGGGATTGCTGGGTCATAGGGGAGCTCTATGTGGAGTCTTTTGAGGAACCTCCATACTGCTTTCCAAAGTGGTTGAACAAGTTTACATTCCCACCAACAATGAGAAGGTGATGTTAGGAAAACGAACCCTCAAATATGTATTTTAATGTTTTTGTTTCTTTCAAGCATGTGTTTCTAACGCATTTATAAGATTATTTCTTGGTTGCTTTGTATGTCCCTCCCCCACAGTGTAACCCCTGCTTTCACTATATTTGATGTCAGTATAACATGTGGAGGAGATGGGGACAAACAAGTCGTTTAAGGATTCAGGTGGACCTGTTGCAACAATGAGAAGTACAAAATGTCATGTCAAAACCAGCTTTACAATGTCGGAGGGGGGACAGGGGGGGTATGATTGGGTGGGGGGGAGGGGGGAGGCTGGGAAGGGAGGTGAAGGGTAAACAAAGGAGGAGGCTGCAATGCTTGGTAAGAAATGTATGCATTATCCTGACCATGTAATTGTAACCCCTCTGTACAGTATGTTCTCAAATAAAATAAAATAAAATTTAAAAAAAAAAAAAAAAAAAAAAAGGAAGGAAGGAAGGAAGGAAGGAAGGTAGACAGGCAGACAAAGCAGACAGGCAGGCCAACAAAGTTTATTTTTTAGAGGAGGTTTTCTTTTGTTTGTTTGGACTTATTATTGTTTTGACAGAAGGTCTCACTAGAAATCCCTCTATAGCCTATCTATCCTCCAACTCAGGATCCTCCTGCCTCAGCCTCTAAAGGGCTGTGACTACCACACCTACCACAGAGATAGTTTTTCATGAAAGCACTCAATATAGGCAGAAAATAACTCTCATGAATTTTGTTGAGAAGCATAAATTATAACAAACTTTTAAAAAGAAAATCGGTAGTTAATAGTGAAAAACAAAATTTTCAACACCCAGACCCAACACCTTCATTTCTCCAAATTTGTCTATATACTCAGCTGCTTGCAAATGAAGTCCAAGTAGCTAAATCTGACATGACTTTTGTCACTCTAGAAATTCAAAACCTATGCTTTGTATGTCCCTCCCCCACGGTATAACCCCTGCTTTCACTGTATTTGATGTTATAATTTGTGGAGGGGAAGGGAAAAAACAAATCGTTAAAATAGGGATACAGGTGGACCCATTGCAACAATGAGACGTACAAGTAGTATGTTGAAAAATGAACTTTACAACTTTGGTGGGGGGGGAGGAGGGTTGGGTAGGGGGGTTGGGGGGGGGGAGGATGGGATGGGAAGAGGAAACAAAGGAGGAGGCTACAATGCTTGATAAGAAATGTACTCATTACCTTGCCCATGTAATTGTAACCCCTCTGTACCGCATTTTCACAATAAAAAAAAGAATCATGAAAAGATGATTGTATTACACTTGCATTTGCTCTTCTATAAATTGCCCATTCTACCTATTTGCTATTTTCCATTGTTATATCAAATTAGTAGGTGTTTTCATATTGTATTGATATTAAAACTACTAAATATGTGATGAAAAATTCAAAACCTATACCATTTTCTGCTCATTTTCTTTTGCTTGGAAAGCCCATCCTCATCTTCTTGGTTTCTCTAGCCTTGCGGGCTCTTCTCAAATCAGCTAGGTTGTTAGAGGGTCTACCCTGTTCATCATCCATGGGAGTTTCCTGCTGTTTCCATAGCACCCATTGTACATATTTATTACAGAAAATATATATATTTGCTTCTATAGATGTTCACATATTTATGGATCTAATTACATATTTGTCTCCACCATATTTGCTTCTTTCTCTGTATCCTACTACATGGGTAGTTTGCAACTGGAAGCAATTGTGTCCCTCAAGGGACTTCTGAAAGTATCTAGAACCTTTTCTTTTCTACAATTAAGAGGCAAGAGGGTACTAGTACTTGGAATGTAGTAGCCAAAGAAGTTGTTAAACACCCTACAATGTTCAAGTAAGTCCCTAACAATAAAGCTATTCAGCCTAAGAAGTCAATTGAAATTGGGCACTGGTAGCTCACCAGCTGAGATCTGAGGATCATGATTTGAAGCTCAGCCAGGAAGGTCCATGAGACTCTTATCCCATTTTAATCACCAAAATGCCGGAAGTGGAGATGTAGCCTTGAGTGAAAAAGCTAAGGGTAAGTGCTCAGGTCTTGAGAACAAGCCCCAGCACCAGCACGCACACACACAGATGTCTAACATAGCTGTAGTTGAGAAAGCCTGTCCTATATCTAGCTTCTGACTAGCTTGGAACATAAAAAAATACACCATTCTCACCAAAACCATACAAAACTATATACTGAAATGATGTAAAATGAACTTCTATTCTTTGAGACAGGGTCTTGCTGAGGTACCCCAGCCTGATCTTAAATTCATTTTCGGAGCCTCCCAAGTACTTGGATTACAGGTGTGTGCCACCATGGCTGGCTTTAAAGTGAACTTTTAAACTCTAATTTCAACAGTAGACAAGCATCTATGCTAGGATGTTGTACACAGCTGGTGCCCCATCCATATTAGTTCATCCTGAAATAGTGTGAATTAAATCAAAGGCCCAGAATGGTTGGTTCTGAAATGAGTATTAAAGGTTTGGGAATATTTTTTTGCGGGGAAGTACTAGGGCTTAAACTCAGAGCCTCATGCTTTCTAGGCAAGTGCTCTACCACTGAGCCATACTTCCAGCTCTTTTTTTGCGCTGGCTATTTTGAGATACAGTAATGTCTCAATATATGCGGAAGCTTGCATGTAGATGGCAATTCATCTATTTTGTGCTTCTTGTCATATGACAAGAAGCTACCACACATAGCTTCTTCACTGAGTTGGATGGAGTCTTGCAAACTTTTTATGCTCAGGTTGGCCTGGACACACGATTCTCCCAATTTCATCC